TCCTCCTCCTCCGCCTCCTCCTCCTCCTCCTCCTCCTAACCATCACGAACCAGAAACGAATAAAACCATAATGCCTTCCCGAATAAAACCAGAACGACGTCCTTATGAAACCCACTCTCAAGTGGACCAGAGGGCCACGATCCTCGTGAGGGGTGTTCCGGCATTGGGCGTCGGTGGGCCGTCGGCAGCGCTCCACATTGGGTCAGGGCCACGACCCATGTGAGAGGTGTGCCGAACTTCAGCGTCGGGCGGCGATCCAAATGTGGCGAGGTCTACGATCCGTGTGAGGGGTGCACCGATATTGCTCATCGGTGGGCCGTCGGCAGCGCTCCCAGGTGGGCCAGGACACGATCCTCGTGTGTGGCGTGCCGGAATTGGACGTCGGTGGGCCTTCGGCAGCGCTCCCACTTGGACCAGGGCCACGATCCTAGTGAAGTGCGCGCCGGAATCGCGCGTCGGAGGGCCAGGCCCACGATCCTCGAGAGGGTTGTGCCGAAACGAAGCGGCTGGCAGTGGCGGTTGCTCCAAATCCGACGTCGACACGAAGGACAAGTGTAAAACTGTCGTTTTTTGTTCGCTTCTAATACGAATGCAATCTACAGCCTCTACAGCGAATAGTGCACGAAGGTAGGCATTGGCGCGAAAGACACGAAGGCCAGGTTTGAAACTAATGTTTTCGTAATTCCCCTGGTAGGAGTTCTATTAGGCCTGATACAAAAGAAGCGTACACGAAGGTGAGGTTTGTAGCGACACGAAGACCAGGTGCAACCCTAGTAGTAGTAGTAGTAGTAGTAGTAGTAGTAGTAGTAGTAGTAGTAGTAGTAGTAGTAGTAGTAGTAGTAGTAGTAGTAGTAATATAGTAGTATAGTAGAAGTTATAGAATAGTGGAGGTGTGGTAGTAATAGTAGTTAGTAGAAGTAGTCAGAAGAAGTATAATACTAGTCGTAGGAAGCAGTAGTATATTAGTAGTAATAGTTAAAGTATAGTAGTAGTAGGCGTAGTAGTAGTATAGTATAAGTATAGTGTAGTAGTAGTAGTAAGTAGTAGTAGTAGTCGTAGTCCCACTGGAAGCCGCAGTATGTTAGTAGTAAGTAGCAACAAGTAGTAATAATAGTAGTAAGTAGGAATATTAGTAGTAGTAGTAGTAATTAGTAGTAGTAACAGTAGTCGTAGTAGTAGAAGTAGTAGTAGTAAGTAGTAGTTAGTAGTAGTAGTAGTAGTAGTAGTAGTCGTATCGCAGAAGAAGTCGAAGTTGTAGTAGTAGTAGTAGTAGTAGTAGCGGCAGTTTTAGTAGTACCACTAGAAGAATTAGTAGTAGGAGTAGTAGTAACAGCAGTCGTCGTAGTAGAAACAGTAGTACGAGTAGCAGTAGTAGTAGGAGGAGGAGGAGTAGTGGTAGTAGCAGTAGCAGGAGCAGCAGTAGAAGCAGTAGCAGCAGCAGTCGTAGCAGTAGTGGTAGTGATAGTAGTAGGAGAAGCGCCGTAGTAAAAGTAGTCGTAGTAGCAGCAGTAGTAGTAGTAGTAGTAGAAGAAGAAGAAGAAGAAGAACAGTAGTAGTAGTAGCAGTAGTAGTAGTGGTGGTAGTCGTAGTAGTAGTGGTAGTAGGAGCAGGAGTAGCAGTAGGAGTAGTAGAAATAGTACTAGTAGTAGGAGTTGTGGTAGTGGTATTAGGAGTAGCAGGAATAGTAGTGGTAGGAATAGTGATGGTAGGGATAGGAGTAGGAATAGTAGTAGTAGTGGTAGTAGTGGTAGCAGGAGTAGCAGGAATAGTAGAAATAGTGGTAGTAGGAATAGGAGTAGTGGCAGTAGGAGTAGGAGTAGGAGTCAAGCTAGCCAGCTCGAGCGAGTCAAGCATGGCATGCCCAGTCCCACCCGCCCTCCCACAACATAAGAATCAAAGCTGGCACAACTGGGGGCCGAAGTCACACCGGCCAGCCGGTTTGGTACAGCTGATGCGGCCGCGATGGCGGTTGCCGACGGGAACTGGCGAGCGCGTGTTGAATGCCGCGCACGCATTGCCAGACGAGTCGAGAATGGCCCGGTACACCGCAGGAAGCCAGAGGTGGCCGGAGGAAGCCCGACGGTCTGACAGGACACCCCAAAGCATTTTTGTGAAAAAGCATTGGGTTTTTGATGTTTTTATGTTGAAATGCTTGCAAACACACGGTGTTCGGTAGGATTCTGACATGAACGCGCGAGTGTGCTCTTTGTGGTATTTTTTGCACAGGATTCGCGGCCTGGGTGCATGACAGAGCATCGCGAGTGCACCGCGCGATGACGTGAAATCGCTGGATTTGACAGAATTCTTAAGATTCCGATGGTTTTCCTATGATTTCAGCAAGAGAGCCCGGGCGGGAAATTTGTACAATTTTTGTGAAAAAGCATTGGGTTTTTGATGTTTTTATGTTGAAATGCTTGCAAACACAAGGTGTTCGGTAGGATTCTGACATGAACGCGCGCGTGTGCTCTTTGTGGTATTTTTTGCAATGGATTATCGCCGTGGACGACAAGACGTCCATGTCGAGAGGAAAAAATAAGAAAAATGTTGATTTTGTATTGTTTTTTACAAGTTAGGATGGGACCCCCCGGATGCGGCCCCTAATGGCCGGCCTGAGGGGGGAGTCGGAGTATATTCGAATAAGGAATAAGGATAGGAGTGACAGCCGTAGTAGAAATAGTAGTGGTAGTAGTCGTAGTCGTAGTCGTAGTCGTAGTCGCAGTCGTAGTCCTAGTCGTAGTCGTAGTAGTAGTAGTAGTAGTAGTAGTAGTAGTAGTAGTAGTAGTAGTAGTAGTAGTAGTAGTAGGTGTAGGTGTAGGTGTAGTAGTAGTAGTAGTAGTAGTAGTAGTAGTAGTAGTAGTAGTAGTAGTAGTAGTAGTAGTAGTAGTAGTAGTAGTAGTAGTAGTTCGTAGTAGTAGTAGTAGTAGTAGTAGTAGTCGTCGTCGTCGTCGTCGTCGTAGTATTAGTAGAAGTAGTAGTAGTAGTATTCGTAGTCCGTATAGTAGTGAGTAAGTAGTAGTAGTAGTAGTAAAGTAGTGGAGTAAAGCAGTAGTCGTAGTCGTAAAGTTGTAGTCGTAGTAGTAATCGTCGTATTCGTCGTAAGGTATAGTGGTAGTAGTAGCGTGGTGGTAGTTAGTCGTTTTTAGTATGAGTAGGTTAGTAGTAGTAGTATAGTAGTAGTAGTAGCATAGTATAGTATAGTAGGCAGTAGTAGTGTAGTAACTAGTAGCAGTAAGCACAGCGGTATAGTAGTAATAATAGGTCGTCAGTCGTAGTAGTGATTAGTAGTAAGTAGTAGTAGTAATAGTAGTAGTAGTAAGTAGTAGTAGTAGTAGTCGTAGTAGTAGTAGAGTAGTAGTCGTGGTAGTGGTTGTAGAAGTAGTCGTCTTTAGATTAGTAGTAGTAGTAGTGTAGAGTAGTAGTAGTAGTTAATTGTTAAGTAGTAGTAGTAGTAGTAGTAGTAGTCGTAGTCGTAGTCGTAGTCGTAGTCGTAGTCGTAGTCGTAGTCGTAGTCGTAGTAGTAGTAGTAGTAGTAGTAGTAGTAGTAGTAGTAGTAGTAGTAGTAGTAGTAGTAGTAGTAGTAGTAGTAGTAGTAGTAGTAGTAGTAGTAGTAGTAGTAGTAGTAGTAGTAGTAGTAGTAGTAGTAGTAGTAGTAGTAGTAGTAGTAGTAGTAGTAGTAGTAGTATAATAATAATAATAATAATAATAATAACAATAATAATCGTAGTAATAATAATAGAAGTAGTTGTAGTAGTAGCAGGAGGAGGAGGAGGAGGAGCTTCGAACGAGCCAACGAGCGTCGCCACGCAAAGCCTGCTAACGAGGCCCTTTGCAGGCACAGAGGCTGCGAAATCGGCTGCTACTGCAGCCACGGCGATCAGCACGGCCGTCTTGTTGGCCGAGACCGTTGCGTGCGCCGGGGCGGCTTCAAACTGCTTGGAGTCCGCCTGGGCATGCTGCTGCTGCCGACTGCGGGGATTTGCACGACTCGGCGATGAGCAGGATGAGGCCGATGCAGGGGGAGGAGGAGGAGGAGGAGGAGGAGGAGGAGGAGGAGGAGGAGGAGGAGGAGGAGGAGGAGGAGGAGGAGGAGGAGGAAGAGGAGGAGGAGGAGGAGGAGGAGGAGGAGGAGGACGCTCCGGGCACCGCCGAAACGCCCTCGGCGGAGCGCAGCTGCTGGAGAGCACCCCGAGGCAGGAAACACCGCCGAGGACCGACGAGAGCGTCAGAGACCTCGAATGGTTCCCCCCTCCCGGAGCCAATCCCCCCCCGAAACGCCCTCGGCGGAGCGCAGCTGCTGGAGAGCACCCCGAGGCGGGAAACACCGCCGAGGACCGACGAGAGCGTCAGAGACCTCGAAGGTCTGCCCCCCTCCCGGAGCCGAACCCCCCCGTGACGTTCCCCCCCATCCGAGGCGCCAGTGGGCCCGACAAAAACTCGAACGCCGGGAGAGGCGGCCAGGACCTGCAGCGAGGGGCCCTGGGCTAGCCGGCCTCGATCTTACCCCTACGTGTCCCTAGGATCGACGGGCCCGAATGCGATGACAATCTCAGGCACGCGCCTCCAGAAACTCAGGGCTTCCTCAAGATCGGCATGGAGATCAGGTGATGTCTGTCGTAGGGATAAGGATATGTCACCGCGCCGCTTGTTCTCAACGCGCTCAACTGGACGACGCCGTCACCACGGCAAGCCTACGGCAAACAGTGCACCCCGCGCCCAAATAGACGAAACCAGCACAACGGCAAACCCCACGGCAAGCCCACCGCGCGCGAGGCGGCGTTTGATCTGGTGGCCAAGGCGCGCCCCCCAAGATGCAAGGCCGCGCGTCGGAACAAACGACGCGGCGACACATGTTCCAGGCTGGCTCGCACCACCTCGTGGGAAGGCTTTGCGGAGCTCCAGAGGCCCTCAGGGGCCGACCCGGCCAGTCTCTCGACGCCAACGTCTGGGGCACGCCGGGACTCCCAGCCTGACTACCTGACTGCGTGCCAGGCCATCCCAGCCCAACCCGAGGACCCGAATTTCGCTTTGGGGGGGGGGGGGGGGGCTATGGCTTCCATGCGCTTCTTCAGCATGTTCCCCGACCCCCTCCACACTGGGGGGGGAGTATGGCTTCCATGTGCTTCTTCGGCACGTTCCCCGACCCCCCCGCACTGGTTGGGGGGGGGTATGGCTTCCATGTGCTTCTTCGGAATGTCCCCCGCCCCCCCCCGCACGGCTTGGTGGGGACGGCCCCGCGCCCCCCGCGCGGGCCCGACCCCCCCGCACGGCTTGGTGGGGACGGCCCCGCGCCCCCCGCGCGGGCTGCTGCCGCGGCGCGGAGCGCGGGGCCTCCCCGCGCGGCCCGCGGGGGCCGGCCGCGGCCCGCCCCCCCGGCCGCGGGCGCCCCGGCGCCCGCTCTCTCGGCCTAGTGGCCCGCGACGAGGCCGGCGCCACGGCGCCGCGCCGGCGGCCCTCGCTGGCGGCCGCGGGCGCCGCTGGCGACCTCCTCCTCCCCCCCTCCACCTCCAACCTCGTCCTCCTCAACTCCTCCTCCTCCTCCCCTCCTCAACCTCCTCCTCCTCCTCACCTCCTCCTGCTCCTCCTCCACCTCCTCCTCTTCCTCCTCCCTGCTCCTCCTTCTCCCCACCTCCTCCTATCCACCTCCTCCTCCTCCTCCCTCCTCCTCCTCCTCCTCCTCCTTCTCAACCTCCTCCACCTCCTCCTCCTCATCCGCCACTTCCTCCTGCTCCTCCGTCTTCCTCTCTCCCTCCTCCTTCTCTCCTCCTCTCCTCCTCCTCTCTCCTCCTCCTCCTCCTCCTCCTCTTCCCTCCTCTCCTCCTTCTCCTCTTCCGCTGCCTCCTCCTGCTCGTGTTCCTCCTCCTCCTCTTCTTCCTCCCCCTCCTGCTCCTCCTCCTGCTCCTCCTCCTCATCCTCCCTCCTCCTCCTCCTCCTCCTCCTCCTCCTCCTCCTCCTCCTCCTCCTCCTCCTCCTCCTCCTCCTCCTGTCTCCCCCTGCAGCCCTCGCTGGCGGGCGCGGGCGCCGCTGGCGAGCGCCGGCGTTCGCCTCAGGCCTTCACGCCGTTGGTCAGCTCCTTGCCCTCCAGGAACTCGTCGATGTTCTGGATGGTGGTGTTGCAAATGTTCTCGAGGGCCTCCTTGGTGAGGAAAGCGGTGTGCGGGGTGACGATGACATTCGGCAAGGCCGAGAGCATGTTGAAGGTCTTGTCCCATGCAGCCATCCGCTCCCTCGTGTCACAGTTCACAAAATTCTGGAAGAAGAGCTTATCCTGCAAGAGGGGGGTGAGGAGGAGACGGGAACGGGGATGAGGAGGAGGAGGACGAGGAGGAGGAGGACGAGAAGGGGAAAGAAAGGGAAGAGGACGACGAGGGGATGAGGAATAGAGGATCGGCGACGGGAAGGATAACGAACATGAATTCGCCGGCCTAACAGGCCAGGGCGTGCTAAGATCTCCGGTAACAGGTAAACAGTATTTCTAGTTCGCGCGCGCGGGGCGGCCCCTAGGAGTCCCCGGGCGAAAAGTACCCCGGCAGGTCCCCGGGAGGGTGGGGGTCAGAGATGCCGGACTTCCTGGGCGCGGCCCTGGAGGCCTCTGGAGCGCTGCAGGAGCGCTCCAAGGAGACGCCAAATATGTGGCAGGCCCAGCAGCCTGAAGCCAAGAGCGCCCCAAGACGGCCCAGACGGCCTCAAGACGGCCCAAGATGCTCCCAAGACGCCCCAAGATGCGTCCAAGAGACCTCCCAAGAGGCCCCCAAGTGATTTTCATTGTTTTTTTGAAGATTTTGGCGTCTCGCCTCTTCGGCTTCCTAGCGCTCCAAGACGGCCCAAAAAGCCCTCGATATCGCCCCCATACGGCCTACGAGGGTTCAAGACCGTTCCGAAACGACCCCAGAGGGCCCTAAGAGACCCCCAGAAACCTCCAAGATGGCCCAAGATGCCCCCAAGACGGCTCCAAGACCGGGCCCCGACGGGGGACTGGAACGGACATTTCGCGCTCTAAGCCGCAAGACGTCCCCAGGAGACCTCATAACGCCCCCAAGAGGCCTCAAGACGGCCCAAGATGCTCCCAAGACGCCCCAAGATGCGTCCAAGAGACCTCCCAAGAGGCCCCCAAGAAGCCAAAATTGATGATTGTCATTGTACTTTTTTGTTTTAAAGATTTTGGCGTTCTCGCCTCTTCGGCTTACTAGCGCTTTAAGACGGCCCAAAAAGCCCTCAATATCGCCCCCATACGGCCTACGAGGGTTCAAGACCGTTCCGAAACGACCCCAGAGGGCCCTAAGAGACCCCCAGAAACCTCCAAGATGGCCCAAGATGCCCCCAAGACGGCTCCAAGACCGGGCCCCGACGGGGGACCGGAACGGACATTTCGCGCTCTAAGCCGCAAGACGTCCCCAGGAGACCTCATAACGCCCCCAAGAGGCCTCAAGACGGCCCAAGATGCTCCCAAGACGCCCCAAGATGCGTCCAAGAGACCTCCCAAGAGGCCCCCAACAAGCCAAAATTGATGATTTTCATTGGTTTTTTGTTTAAGATTTTGGCGTTGTCGCCTCTTCGGCTTCCTAGCGCTCCAAGACGGCCCACAAAGCCCTCAATATCGCCCTAATACGGCCTACGAGGTTTCAAAACCGTTCCGAAACGACCCCAGAGAGCCCTAAGAGACCCCAGAAACCTCCAAGATGGCCCAAGATGCCTCCAAGACGGCTCCAAGACCGGGCCCCGACGGGGGACTGGAACGGACATTTCGCGCTCTAAGCCGCAAGACGTCCCCAGGAGACCTCATAACGCCCCCAAGAGGCCCCCGAGAGGCCCCAAGAGGCCCCCAACAGGCCCCAAGAGGCCCCCAGGAGGCCCCAGGAGGCTCTAGAAATACTGCCAAGAGGCCCTCGAGAGGCTTCCCAAGAGACCCCAAACGGCCTCTAAAAAACGCGTCTTGTCCACGACCAAACTTGGCTCCCAAATGTCCCCCTCCTCCTCCTCCTTCTCGCTCGCCACGAGCACGCCAACATAAAGCACAATTGATACAAGATTTTCCCCGCCTCCCTCCTCCTCCTCCTTTTCGCTCGCCACGAGCTCACCAACATATGGCACACCGCGGCGACGACGACGACGACGACGGCGACGGCGACGACGACGACGACGGCGGCGGCGACGAGGATGCTTCCCGAAGCGGCGGAGGCTCTCAGCTCCCCTCCCCGACCATAGGCATGACCGTATGCGAACGGACCCACAATTGCAAACGATGCATCCAAGTACGAAGACCACTGACTCCAACACCCTCGCACCACAAACAGAGCACCCCTAAACACGCCGAGGCAACCGCAGGCAAAGCCAGACCGAACCCTGGAACCTCCAGAAAGCGGGGCTCCATTGGCGGACCGCGCCAAACCACCATCCGCGAGCCCCATGAGAGCAGACGATGGCGCCACAAACCACTGACAGCCGCAAACGTCAAACTAACTACACCGGACTGGTGCACCCACCACCGAAAACAACGTCCCCCCCGCCCCCATCAGCGCAACATGGCTCACGGACGCGCAGCCAAACCCCAGCGATTACGCATTATGGGCCGGCGGAATGAGCGAAGCGATTAAATAAGACGAGGAGGAGCATGAACAGGAGGAGGCACTCGAGGAGGATGAGGAGGAGGCGGCGGAGTAGAAGGACGAGGGGAGGGGGGAGGATAACGAGGTGGAGGACGAAGAAGGAGAAGAAAACACAACATGATCATAACTAGACGAATATTTGCAACAAGACAATACTAAACAATGAATAGGGAGGCGTCCTCATTCTCGTACACGTCCAGGCCAGCCCCTCCGATCTTCCCTGCCAGGAGGCCCTCGATAAGGGCCTCGGTGTCCACCAGGCCGCCCCGCGAGCAGTTGACGAGGATGACGCCGTCCTTCATCTTGTCGATCACCTCCTAGGGCAAGGACATGGGTGAGAAGGGGATGAGGATGAGGATGAGGATGATAATGATGGCGCTGCTGCCGATGATGACGATGAGGATGAGGATGATAATGATGATAATGATGATGATGCCGATGCTGTTGATCATGATGATGGTGGTGCTGATGATGACGGTGATGAGGATGAGGATGTGGATGATGATGACGACGACAATGATGATCATGATGACCTATAGCCCTATAGCCCTATAGCATTATGGTTGGGGCTTGTCTCGGGTATCGTATACATATACATATATATATATATATATATATATATATGTGCGTATATATACATATATACACACATATGTATGCCCTATTGCCGTATAGCCCAATAGACCTCTAGCCCCATAGCCCAATAGCTCTATAGCCCAAACCCCCTACAACCCTATAGCCTTATAGCCTCATCGCCCTACAGCCCAATCGCCCCATAGCTCTAAAACCCTTGAGTCCAATAGCCCTATAGCCCCAGAGCCCTATGGCCCACTAGCTTCACTAAGAGGGAACGCGGCCTTGAAGTCAGTAGAGAGCTAGGCCAGATCAGCATGCCCCTCCAAATGGGCAGGCACCGCATCAGCTTCGCATGCAATTATCTTGCCCGCGATCGACCGACCAGGAACGCCCACATACAGCAAATAATGACTCGGCTGAACAGCGACTCTGGACCGAGGGTATGTGACGGCGGCAGTGACCAACTTACAATCGGCGCGTCGCATAGCGACATAGCGGCTGGAGGAAGGCGCGCGGGCAGGCAAGGCAGAGCCATCAGACGGGTGGTCCCCTTTCGCCAAGAACACCATGAGCATTTAATGAAAGCTGGCAAGAAGAGGGACATGAGCGCGGGATAAGCAATGGGCAATGGCACTAGCACTCATGCACCGTGTGTGTTGCGCGCCAGCGTGTTTCCAACAGCCAGAGGGCAAACCATCGACCCCTGGCGTCGAACCCCAAAACCGCCCCACGAGATCAATAAACTCTGCACGTGCCAACTTCCACTCGCGCTCAGGCATGAGGACATCAGCGCGCTGGGTGCGCGGTAGCAGAATGTTCCGCAATGTGCGGCTAGACACGCGCGCCGCAAAGACGTCGCCTCAGGATCTCGCAAGCTCGTTGCCAGCGTGCGGCGCATAATCACACGGGCGGCCACTAATTTCCACGGGGCTCGCGATTGCGTTGCGCACGTGCGCGTTCACGTGCAATTTCGCCCTCAGGAATCTAACGGGCATGCTGCAGCGCCTCTTCCTCATCATCAAGCATCTGGTCCTTTCACTTTGCAACGTGCGCGTACTGACCAGCGGGGTCAATAACGTTCCAGCGTCCGCATCAAATACAGACGTTCGACGAGGGCATGCACGCGCCGCACGAACAGCAACGCACTGAACATTAGCGCGAAATCCACGAAGAGCGGCAACAAGGCAGTGCAAGCACTAGCGTTGCGCTCTGGCCCCTCGGCAGCGCATCGCGTTGCCAAACTCCAGACGGTGCCCGCGCGCACTAGCCAAGCGCTGCTTGATCGAGAGCGACGCGTCCAAAGCCGCGGTCTCATCTGAAAGTAGGCGCCCGAACTACCAGGGACGAGTGACCCACGCAGGGATAAGATAGGGGCAGCGGAGAGACGAGGCTTAGGGGCAACAGCCACCACCGCAGGAACGTGCTCAGAGGGGTGCCCTCAGACTGTTAGACACGCCTTATCGTCGAACCAATGACAACTGCGTCAAGACTGCCGAGCAAGCTGTCAGCACGCGCGCGATCCAGACGAGCAATAGAGACAACCTCGGGGCCCCGACAAGCACGACGGGCACCCCGCGGCTGGCGCAGCTCCGCCCTGTCACCAAAGCATGAGACCCATCCACGAGAGAATGCCGCACCCCCACGGCTAGCGACCCCAGCCTCAAGATTAGGCACACCTTCATCACTGAGCACGCAGTTGAAACCGCCGAGCAAGATGTGAGATGCAGCGGGGGATGGCAACATAGCGGGGCGAACAGCAGAGAGACGATATAATCGAACGCCAGCATCAACATGCAACGCATGGGCGGCAACGACTCCAAGAAAATCAGGAGCACCCAAACCAAGAACGTATGGGGACCTTCTCAAGGACCAACGATTTTAGAATGAAGCCGTGAAGGTGCACCGCGAACGACTCCTGAACGCAGACCAGGACCCCATGCCTGGAAACGCTATTAGGACGAGTGTCCAGGAAAGACTTGCGAGGCGAGAACTCTTTCTCGAGGGCGACGAGTTCACTGGGAGTGCCCGCGAGACTCCTGAATGGAGACAACCTGGTGATTCCTGGGCAACTCTAGAGAAGATGCGCCATCGAGCGCAGGCCCAATTCTTCATGCTGCTGACGCTTCCAAACAGACAATGCAACAACGGAGAGAGAGGTCTCTTCGGGAAGAAGGGGCGGAACAGTGCCACCCCAATATACCCAATGACCAATTGCGCCTCGCAAGAGCGGCCATCGCGCAGGAAAGAGTCAATGCACTGCGACAGCCGCCCAACCAAGCCCCCGGCGGGGAACCCTCATAACAATATTTGCATAAGTCAAAAGCTCAACTGACCTAAGACCTGGTCCACAATCGAATGCTGCCCCCCGCCGATGCCGACAGCCTCGAGATAATAGACAAACGCGACAACCCTGGGCATCTCGATCGACGACGCGGGCTTCGAAACAGGATGGTGCTTCCCCGCATCACCCAAGACCTCGTTCGAAGCGAAGATGAACCCGTTACCGGCCGACGAGTCAACAGACCACCCATTGAGCACTGGAGTGTCTTTGAAGAGGCCCTCGGGCTCGTTGCGCATCTTGCCCATGACAATCAACTGCTTGTTAGTTTCAGCATCGCGGAACGGCTTCAAGCGCAAGGCCATGGGGCCCCTGGGGGTCTTGAGCTCTGAACCCGCAGGCGAATGCTTGCGGAGCGCGTCAATGGTCTTAGCGACTGCATCTTCTGAAGGGGAGTTCAATAGTGACATGTTCTGAGAAGTTCTGAGGCGTCGAAGACATGGCAATCTTCACCTCTTCTTCAGCACGCGCAGAGAAAATATAAGTCACCGCCTCCTGGAGAGCATCACGGATGAACTCATCACCGAGCCCTACGAGGATGGCCTTGGACATGGTATCGGGATTTCCACCACGCACAGCCGGAGCAGGACCTCAGAGCTACTTGTTCGGACCACTGGAACCGCCCTCATCATAACTAGCCCCGGAGAAACTGGCATTCCAATTCCGCATCTGTTCAAGCTCAGCTACCGTCTTCATGATGTTGGCACGCTGTTCTTCAAAACGCGCGCGCAATGCGACGGCGCAAGCGGCGAGTTCGCAAACCTGGCCCGACACCATGGCGACCGCTGGTTTCGCCGACGGCTGGTTTCGCCCTGCTGGTTTTCGCCGCCCGGCGAAACCAGCTCCGCCGGCGAAACCAGCTCCGTCGGCGAAACCAGCTACCGCCAGCGAAACCAGCTGCCGTCGGCGACCCGACCCACCCGCTAGGATCCGCCCGCGCGACCCGACCCGCCCGTCAGGGTTCGCGCGAGCTCGGTCGAGCGCGCCCCACATTTGACCGCCCCGCCCGACCCGACCCGACCCGCCCGTTAGGGCCCGCCCGCCCGGCACGACCCGCCCGTTAGGGCCCGCGCGTGCTCGGTCGAGCGCGCCCCGCACTGTAGTGTCCCGCCGCCCGACCTGACCCGGCCGTTAGGGCCCGCCCGCCTGACCCGACCCGCTCCGCCCGCCAGGGTCCGCCCGCCCGACGCGACCCGCCCCTTAGGGTTCGCGCGTGCTCGGTCGAGCGCGCCCCGTGCTTTAATGTCCCGCCCGCCCGGCCCGACCAGCCCGTGAGGGCCCGCCCGCTCGACCCGACCCGACCCGCCCGCTAGGGTCCGCCCGCCCGACCCGACCCGCCCGTTAGGGCTCGCGTCGGCGAAACCAGCGCCGGCGAAACCAACCGCCGGCGACACCAGCCGCCGGCGAAACCAGCCGCCAGCGAAACCAGCGCCGGCGAAACCAGCGCCGGCGAAACCAGCCGTCGGCGAAACCAGCGGGGCGAAACCAGCGCCGGCGAAACCAGCGCCGGCGAAACTTGCTCATGCCGACACCATCGAAAGAGACCCAATCATCTTGGCCACCTGAGCCGTCAGCTCGTTGATCTCTGCACCGGACGGAACCATCCTTACACGAGCCACGAGATCCACTGGGCTGGAAGATAATGGCAGTCAGGCAGAGCGGGCAGGCAGCTGCATCAGCAGCTCGAGCTCCCTTCGGCTTGAACCAAAACGGCGACGGATGGTGATGATGATGACGATGACGGTGATGATGTGGATGATGATGATGATGCTGATGATGGAGACGGTAACTATGTTGACGATGGTGCTGACGATGATGATGATGATGATGATGATGATGATGATGATGATGATGATGATGATGATAATGATGATGACGATGATAATGACGACGACGCTGATGGTCATGATCATGATGATGATGATGATCATGGCGCTGATGATGATAATGATGCTGATGATTGTGCTGGTGATGATGATGATACCTGTGATCAGAATGATGGTGCTGATGATGGTGATGATGATAAGTGTGGTGATGATGGTGATGATGATGGCGATGATGATGATGATGATGATGATGGTGATGATGCCAATGCTGCCTGTGAGTGGTCGACGATGATGATGGTGGTGGTGATGATGAAAATGGTGGTGATGATGATGATGGACATGATGATGGTGATGCTGATGATGATGATGATGCGGATGATGATGAGGATGACGATGAGGAGGAGCAGTATGCGGAGGAGGAGTAGGAGGAGGAGGAGGAGGAGGAGGGGGAGGAGGAGGAGGAGTAGGAGGAGGAGGAGGACTAGCACCATCAGCAGGAGGGAACCGAGCATCCATATTGGCTGGCGCAGCACAGCGCGACCCGCACGCCGCCGCCCCGCGGGCCGCAGGAAGACCCGCCACCGCCCGTGGCCGGCCGGCGAGGCCCACCGAGACGCCCTCGTCGTTCTCGGCTCCCGCCGCACTTTTTGATCCGCGGGTCGAGAGCGCACCTCTTCCGGTCGAAGCTAAGCGGGCCGCGCGAAGCTTGAATTAGGCGGAGAAGAGGAGGGAAAAAGGCTCCCGCCGCACACACCGTAGGCGGGGGCGGCCCTCGACCCGCTCGACGGCCTGGAGCTCGAGGCCGACGAGGGGCCTCGACTGAGACGACCAGTCCCCTCCTCCTTCCCCTCCTCCTTTCCCTCCTCCGCCTCCGCCTCCGCCTCCGCCTCCTCCTCCTCCTCCTCCTCCTCTTCCTCCTCCTCCTCCTCCTCCTCCTTCTCCTCCTCCTCCTCCTCTGGTGGCGAGCGCGGGTCTCTCGCGCGCTGAATTCTGAATTCTGTGACCGGGAGCTGGCAGACACCTCCGCCGCCCATCCAACAGGGCGGCTCCCCCAGGGGTGGCCACCCGTCTCAGTCAACGGCCACTCCTAGGGGGGAGGGGTCTGCCAGCCGGGGCCTCTAGTCTCGGTTACACGGGGGCGTGGCGAGCACCGACAGGACCTCCTCCTTCTCCTCCGTCTCCTCCTACCCCTTTTCCCCCTTCTCCTCCTTCTCCTCATGCCCGTCCTCCTCCTCCTCCTCCTCCTCCTCCTCCTCCTCCTCCTCCTCCTCCTCCTCCTCCTCCTCGGCTGCGAGCACCTCGACGCCGCGAAGGACCCAAGAGTCGGCCAGGCCCCTCTCATGCCAAGCCGCGCAGCCCTCGGGACGCCACTCATGGCCCCAGCGCCGGCTCCGCTGGGGGTGGTGCAGCTCGGAAGGAACGCAAGTGACCCGAGGGGGAGGGGCTGCATGAGCTGCGTGAGGCAGGCGGCCGCGCACTTGGAAATCCGGCCTCCTGTCAAGCCTCCCCGCATTCGTGGCGCAGCTCAGGAGGAAGCTGAGGAGGAGGAGGAATGCAGTAGACACATACGACAAGGAATCTTGGCATCAGAGATCGAGGGCCTCGCTTGTCGTCGAAGCTTGAGCTTCCTGAGGTGGCCCAAAGCTTCTGGCCCCCC